TATTTTTAGCTAACAACTAAACAGCAAATATATATATAAAAATTAGATCGGTGGTAGAAATTAACAAGTAACGGCACTATTACATTATTTTTCGTTGTTTTGTAGTGTAATGCCCTTTTTTTTCACGCGATACTCAAAAACACTAGTTTGCACAGTGGGCCAGCATCTTCGTGGCCAAAATTAGCATTTCGATAAAAGTTGTTTCAAAATTTGGGGGTTTTTATTTAGGGTTTTTTCTGTGCAGGTAAATTGAATTCATAGTTGAAATTTTGAAATACACTAAAAAAGACCAAAATAACAAAATGGCGGCTGAAATATGGCTAACAAAAATAAAAATAATATAGCACGTTTAAATAATTAAATATAGCAATGAAAATATAATAATTTTCGTAATTTTATATTAAAAATGAAAAGCAAATTATGTTTCCGAGGTTATGTTACAAAATAAAACGAAAACATGAAAAAATCATAATTTTCGTTTTTTGGTATGTATTTAATCCACCTTTGCAATACGAGCAAAATGGGCAGGTTTTTTCGAAAAAAGAAACATCAAAGAAGACAACAACAAAAAAAATTAACTAATTACCTCGTGGAACTTTTTGGTACTAAGTTTCGAAAGTCACTCAAACATTGTAAAATGTCAAATGATAAGATATAAACTATAAATTTGTCAAGAGTATTAACTAATCCAACACATTAAAAAATTGTACTATAATTTCAAACTAATTACTTTGATAAAAATGTTACAGTAAGGTGAAATTCCTATATATATTTCTGAAATAAAAATTTATAAGTTACATTTGCAAAATTTTTTTTTACATATTTTTCATTACATTGTATTCTTGTCGGTCCAAAAAGTAAATTATAATGTTTCGAATGATTATGAATAATTAATTTGGGCAATATTAAAACTGCTTACATATATTTTAGTTGAAAATTTAATTTTTGACTTTTCGCCAAAGATCATGGTCTTCTGGCCCACAGTGGTTTGTAGCGTTCATTTTTAACGTTACTTTAGTAAAGAAACATGGTGTAAATTTAATTAATTTTTCTAATCTTAGTAATCTTCAATCCCAGCCGCATTGTAGCTGTCTGCACACGCTATATCTGTCGAGTCACAAAGTACTCCATGTTCCTATAACAAATCATGCCTCTGAGGGTACTGATTAGGTGTTTCGTTGGCTTCTGGATTAGTTCAAAATTATAAGGCTATGGAGTTGAACATTAGTAGTCGCAAATCCAAAAATTGGGTCGGCTGTTCAACGATGGTTATAAAATAATATCTTAGTAATTCCCCCGAGTTCAATATCCGGCACCTACAAAAATTTTTGAACTATGGTGGTTCAGGGGATAGAGCACTCGCGTCCCAATGAGGTGGCCCGGGTTCGAATCCCAGTGATGGCTGGTTGATATGAATTCCGGTCCACTGTACCAGCACTGTGGTCAATACGTACCGACCACAGTGCTGACGTGAAATATCAGTGGTAGACGGATCATGGGTTAGAGCCCTTTTGCCGTCAGGTTAACCGTTGGAGGTTCTCGTGGTCTTCCTCTCCATGTTATGCAAATGTTGGTTAGTTTCCTCAAAAAAGTCCTCCACGAATGCAAATTTTTCCCAATAATTGATCCAGAAGTTCCCTTGTCTTCTGGATTGGGTTCGAAATGACAAGGATATGGAATTGAACATTAGTAGTCGTAAACTCAAAAGGTGGGTTGGCTATACAACGACGGTTATAAAATAAAAAAATCTTAGTGGTGCAAATCTTACGAGATTCCATCAGCTGAGCCAGTGAAAATGTCCAATATTCTTTAAGTTTATTTTTATTTTTAGCTAACAACTAAACAGCAAACATTCCATCTAGCAATTTTTTGAAATCAATATTCACCGTTACGAAAGGCATTAGAAGTTGAAGAAAAAAAATACTTAAAAAATAATTTTGTTCATTTATCATTCTAAAACATTTTTTGGGAATTTTTTTTCGTTCAATATTTAGCTTTTTTTAAGTTTTAAACATGAGTGTAAAATGAAACCTCCAACAAAATTAACTAAAAGTAGCGACAAGATTACGAAAGTAGATTGCTATATCACTAAAATTTAATAAATAATTGATTGCAGTTGCTATAAAGTTGTTGTAGGGAAAAAAATGTAGTTTTGCCGACCAGTGGCTATTAAGAAATTTTCATGGAATCTTGGGATGCGGCAAAATAGTTGCTTAAATGGCTTACACATGTATAGTGAGCAAAATAAAAAACTGGCCACCTTTAATAACTTTTTATATAATGATCGGATTTTCAAATTCTTGAACTCAATCGTAATGGTTCGAAAGGGTGCTAATTAATTAGTGCAGACGATATTTTAAATTACGTGATCAGACTCAAAAACATACTTCTCAATAAACACACATTTTTTTCAATGGATTCGAATTTCTGACCCCCAAAATATAGGGGGTAGTCGCAATCTGGGAAATAGGGTGCCCATAGTTTGGCCAGGAGAGTAGTTTAAAGTTTGGAACCCTTAATATTAATTTTACTTTTTTCGTATTTTATCTTATCTCGAGAATTTTTTATGCGCATTGAAAAGACTTCGCACAGAATTATAAAATTTGTTGATCCAAAGATAATTACATTTAAAAAAATCAGCTTTTAGTAAATATTTATTATTTTTTGTTATTTTATTCAGAAGTAGTTAAAAAGAATTTAAAATTAAAAACATAGATTTTTTTTACAATCATTTCAATTACAATTTTAAATAGCAAAATACAAAGTATGAACAAAATCGGTCAAATAGTTTCTTAGAGATCGAATTTTGAAAAAAACGTATTTTTCAAATTCAATTTTTCAGAAACTATTAGACCGGTTTTGCCCGCATTTTGTATTTTTCCTTGTATAAATACATTCTTTAAAATGATATGAAAACTTCACAATCCAAACTTTTTTTTGACTATTATAAAATAAAATAAAGAGTAATAAATACTCACTAAAAGTTTTTTTTGCATGGAATTGTCTTGGACTAAATAAATTTTATAATTTTGGGCAAAAAATTTTAACACCCTTAAAAAATTCTCGAAAGAGAGCAAAAGACGTAAAATTATCATTAAGGGGTCCAAACTTTTGACCACTCTCCTGACAGACTATGGGGATCATAAAATTCAGATAGCGGCTACTCCCTATGTTTTTGGGGGTCAGAAACCTGAATCCATAAGAAAAAGCTATGTTTACTCAGAGAAAGTTAATTTTGCGTCTTATTTCGTAACTTTAAATATCGTCTGCTCTAATTAGCATATTTGAGGTCACCCCGTAGAAGGCAGTGACAGAACGTAAAGATCTGATCATTTGTTCAAAAGTTAATTAGAGTGATCCGTTTTTCTTTGGCACACTGTATAACAAAAATTAAATAACATTCGTAAAATTATTGAAACTTATTGAAAATAAGCTGATTATTGAAACTAAGCATAAAACATTTAATAATTATAAAATTTAATCTATTTGAATAAATTATGAATAAACTGATCGAATAAACTGAATCCCCCTTTTTTTAGTATTGTTTATCAGATAAGTTTTTAGTTCTTGTAACTTTATTCAATAAATTTTTTTAGAGAAATTTTAATTATATATGGCTATTGGTGGTTACGGAGCAACTTTTACAGACAAATCACTTGATACGATAAAAAATTGGTAATGCAGAAAGACCTATTTTTTTAAAAAAAAAAATAGATGAAAATATAACAAATTCCTTAAAATTTAAATTTTGTTTTAAGAAATGCAGTTCCAACTCAGACACCTATTGATCAAATAACATAAAAAGGGATAAGTTTTAATAAGACCTTAGAAGATGGACAAAATATTTTAGAAAGAAACCATAGTTGACAGAATGAAATTTTGTATGGAACTCTTTCCAAAATGTGCCGATTGTAATGAAATTTTTCATGGGTGTTTTCTTGCATTCTATAATAATTAAAACAATTTTTGCAGGTTCACTCTGCAATGGAAGCATGAAAAATTAACATGGGATAGAAGGCATCCGGTGACCATAGCGCTCTGGGGCTACCGTGAGAGTAGCGAACATTATCCTAAACTTACATACATCGACGTTCTGACCGATGATACTGTTCTAGCCGGAGACGGACAATACAACCTGGACTTGGAAACGTTTAAAAATCGATGGAACTGGGATAAGCTGGACATTACTTTTGGATTCATCGCCATCAACATCACGGATGCCGAAGTGGTCGGTAGTGGTGCCAGATATTCTCCGGTTTTGTGGTCAGGTCCCTTACCCCTCGGATGGTACTTCAGACATCAATGGTATCGAAAATACGGAAAAACTTGGAAGGCTGATATTTGCAAGGACTGGTACATGAGAGAAAAATACAGTGATCGCTTCGCTATCACTCTGTTCAGATGCCCCTGTACTTTAGAGCAAGCCAAATTGGACGCTGGCAGGTTTGCACCCGATCTCCAATGTAACGAAATCGATCGTAAATGTGAAACATTTCACAAAGCGGCTTACCATTGCGTGAGATCTGGAAGACCAGCAGTCGGAGGGGCTGGACAGCTTTGCTGTTACGACGATCATGGTGAACTCATAAGGACCGGTGACACGATGTACGGAGGTAGGCCAGCAAGAGCATTCCAATTCGGTAAGCACCCATTCAAACAACGTATGATGATTCCTTCCTTGTCCTATTGGTTGCACGACGTCACTCCTTATTTCTTCTGCTGTAAGTGGGCGGAAGGCGAAGACGATGCTGAAACGTGCGATATGTTTAAATACTGGAGAACTTCTCAGGACTGCTCACTTTACCAGACACCAGGGGTCGCATCGGTGTACGGAGACCCTCACTTTCTGACTTTTGATAAACACAACTATACATTCAACGGAAAAGGAGAATTCGTTCTGACTCGGGTCAATCACAGGTTGCACAAATTAGACGTTCAGGGAAGGTTCGAGCAACCCGATCCGAAATATCATTTCAGCCCCAAAATTAACGGCACGCGATTGATGGCTGTGACAGCGAGGGACAACGTCTCTTCGATTGTCGAGTTCCGAGTGCGACCTGCTCCAGCAAGGTGGCAATACCACATGTACATCATAGTGGACAACGAATACGTCTACTTCTGGGACAACAGTCTTCGGGTGCAGTTCTTCAAAGGTGTGACACTCTTTCAGCCGGCAAACGTCTACAACATGTCGCACATCGTGGCCATGTTCGATTCAGGAGCAGGTGTGGAGGTGATGGTGGAAAATGGTCACATGGCCGTGCACGTTTATCTACCAGTGAGCTTCATAAACAAGACGAGAGGACTGCTCGGAAATTGGTCCAGAAATAAAGATGATGAATTTACCGCTCCGGATGGAATAGTTTACATAACGCCGGATGCGAGAACGTACGATGTGCATCACAGATTCGGCATGGAATATCGTGTGACTGAGGTAGGCAACGAGAGAGTGGGTCGTTCCTTGTTCTATCACAATGCCATTCCATTTGCGCAGTATGACAATGCCACTTTTGTACCGGAATATGAAACACCGCCACCCATTCCCAAGAACTTCAGCTATCAGGATCATGTCATAGAGAACATATGTGCGGGTTCCACTTCCTGCCGTTTCGATTTCATTGTGACGGGTGACTTTGACTTCGCCAAGGCAACCAAAAACCACGAAAACTACGCCGAAAAGTTGGCTTCGGATGTGAGAAAGCAGACCATCCGTTGCCCGGAGTTGATGAAGCCGAGGCACGGACGGAAGAGTGAGATCCGTTACTTTGTTGGAACAACTGTGAGGTTCAGTTGCGATTCGGGTTATCGTTTGGTTGGGTATGAGAACAGGAGGTGCAGAGAGACTGGACTCTGGAGCTGGGGTGTGAACCCGCAGTGCATCAGCGAGGGTGATTACGCCAAGAAAGTGACGGGAATATCACTGGGCATAGTTCTTCCCATCCTGATCTTGTTGATCCTTCTGTGCGTCTTCTTGGTTCAGAGGATGCGGAATCGTAAACAGCACTGGACGGGAGAGAAGGGCGTTCCAGAAAATCACATGTTCGAAGTGAAGCCGAACAAAAACGGCAATGGAAGCAGTAAAGTGTCTGACTTTTAGTGAGTTATTTTCTTTAAAAAAAAAACAATTTCATCACCAGAAAAAAAGCTCATCTTCACATAACTCTTAGTGAAAGCATTTTTCGATTTGTGTTTAAAGTGAGCAACTGGTTTGTTACGAGTGAAATATAATAAATATTTTTGCTTGGAAAATGTTTAAAAACAAACATTTGTTCATTTCAAACTTCTTATTTTCAGGTATTTATAACAATTTAAGAGAAAAATTATTCTTATAATATATGTTTTTATTTATTACAAAACAGCTTTTGCCACACTTTCTATTCGAAACGTAGTATATTTTTAACTATGTCATATTGTATAACTAATAATTTTAAAAAGTAATTTTATATTCATTTTTTTAAAACTATCAATTTGTTTTAATCTTTTAAATTCTAGCGTTTGTTCCAACTAATTTGTGAAAAAAAAAAAAAAAAAAATAGAAAAATCGAAACCTTTTTTTTTAAAAGTAATTTACGACAACTATGAAAAGAACACTTAGAAAATAAATAACCTGAAGCTAAATCAGGCTACATTTCCAATTTTAAAAAATGAAAACTTTGATTTTTAGGTACTAAAAAACTTTTGTAGCTCTCATAATTTTTTAAAATTATATTTGAAATATATCTAAAAACATTAAAACAAAAACTTAAATGCGTCATTGATCTAAATTAAAAAGAGATTTATGTGGCAGTAATGTTTTTTACAAGCAATTAGATTTTCGACAAATTAAAAAAAAAACAGTCACGTGTGTCACGATATTGATATTGGATTTAAGTCAGCATTATAACTTGCACATTTTATATGTATGTATATAGAACTTTTGAGATATTTTTAGTGTAGTTTCTTTTTAGCAATTTTGTTTCAATTTTCATTTAATATTGTATTTTCTTTTTTTAATTTCTTCGTTTTTTTTTTAAATCTTATTGTTTTGACATTACTATTTTGTCTCTGAAATCTTTATGTAATGTTTAATGCCTAATAAACATCATTTTGTTTTTTCTTCGGTATGTGTTCCTATAACCAAACATATGTGGGTAGTGATTAATTTTTCTTATAATGTAAAAACATTTTGCCATTTTCAGGAATCCAGTTTCTAAAAAGATGGGTCTTTTTAATGGCTTACTTAATTACGCAGCTTACTATTGATTTTAAAAATTATGTTAAAGATAACGTTAAAAATTATGTCAAAAACAATTACAATCCAGTCTTTTTTTCTTTTTCTTTTTTTTTAAAACTGCCATTAATTGCAAATCTTTTCTTTTAACGCCATTTTCTTCAATAGTTCGTTCACCAGGAGTTGGCACTTGACTACCTTCTCGGATGCAGAGTTTATTTCAGCGCGGGAGTAAGAAGAGAAACATCTCCGCGCTTGAAATTGAGACAACCCTTAATGCGAGTCAAACACAAATAGTGACTTCAGTCACTTACTTCGCTTTATCATCTGCTATTATTCTTTTCGTTTCTCTAGCTAATTAAATATGTTTTTAATTTAAAAACTGCTGTTTTCTCTGTAAAATGTCTCAAAAAGGACAAACTATTCACTCAAAAGAGAGAAATATCATAATGAAATGGAGAGAAATATTAACAAATTTATGAAATATTTAATGTTAAAAAAAATGCAGATAAAGTTTGCGAACTAAATATTTTTGCCATACTATCGCCAACTAGCAACCTTGTTCAGGATTGCTCACAACTTTCTCCCAAAAATAGCGAAATAGTATCGTCGCATACCACGTGATGAAGGCGGAGCCAAGTGCCAACTCCTGTTGAACGAGCTATACTGTTGTGAACATAATATTGGCTAGAATTATGATAAATTTCATAGAAGCATTAAATTTGTAACAATTTTTTTTAAAGAAAAGCAGCTGCTCTTCTATACTTAGAGTTTCAAAATGGCAACTTTAAATATATGTATATAAATTCTAAAAATCCTTGGCAAAATTGAAAATAAGAAACACACACATTAGGTGTTGCGAGTTTAAGATATAAGCAAGGTAGAAGGATTAAAACGCTATCCAAATCATTCGTAAGAGAAGCGTAATTAAAAATACCAAAACCAGTTTGATTACCCGATGTATAACTTTAAAATATTTTTAATACTAACCTTTTTACTACTCAGTTTTCTTCTGTAATCAGATAAGTTTACAGTCCTGTCCTCAACTGTAGTTATTATTTTAAAATTCTCCCTTAATCTCCCGTAATTCCCCCCGAATCTTTAATGTGATATCTAAAAATATATAATAGAGGCGGTAATTACGAAAGACCTTATATAAGTCAGAAAAGGTTATTTACAAACTTGAGTGAATTCAAACACCAAAAAATTGCAAAAAAAATAACATAAAACGCAACGTGATAGAAACGCGTTAAAGTACAGTTTGCCTATAGAGAATTTTCAATCGCGAACTGGCCAAGAGTGCCCCATGACTTTACGGATGCATTGCATTGAAATACAAAATCATCCTAAATATTAAAAAAAATTTGAAATTTTTAAAGAAAATAAACTTAATGGTCAATATTGCAGCTACTTAATCTTTTAATGAATTCAATCTTTAAGTTAACAATAATGAATCTTTATTACAGATTATTAATTACCAATAATAAAGATTAATAATTACTTTCCAATAATAAAGATTAATTTACAATAATCATTCTTTTCTCTTACAATAATATTATTTCAAATCATCATTATCTATAAGTAAAACTAGTATATTTCATAAGCATCAAAGCCATTAAAATAACGAGCGATTGTTAGCTTAAAGGAAATATTTAATAGTGTGATTTCAAATAAAGTATCATAAAAATACCTCCAACGGCCTTTTTATTTTAGTTTTTTTTAAAGCAATCTAAGGCAGGTCCAAAAAGCAACTGAAAATTTAGAATTTTTGTATGGAAATTTCACAAAATATTTATTGTTTCTTTTTTTTAAGTTTTAAGGAAGGAAATTCTGAAATGAATATGTACTTTAAAATCACTGAGACTACCAAACGGAAAATGGAGCCGATTTAGAATGTTTCGTTTGCTGGTAAATAAAAATAGGTGAACCCGCAGTGAATGAATAAAATGAAATGAGTTACCTTTTGACTCAAACATTTCTGGCAATACAACTGTTCGACAAGCTGGCTTGATCACTGGACAGAATTTGTTAAATTCGTGAGAACATGTGAAAAGTTTCAATTGTTGCCTTAAATTGAACTGTTGAAAGACGTACAACGATATTATTGTGTATTGTAAAGTTGTAACAACCTACATTTCGGGGGGAGGGGATTGAATAGGATGCCATAAAGTTCAATATTCAAAAGTGACATTAACCCCATTTTTTAAAATAATGAGTTAAGTGAGTCAGTAGATATATTTAAGTTCCCATCAGTAATGTACCCACACATTTGTTCCGATTACGTGTGTCGAATGTCGTTCGTAAACAAACAACTCGTTATTTTTTTAGATTTCTTTTTTGGGGCGTATAAAGATGATGTTTGTTAATTGCATTCAATTAAGTTAATTGTTGCTATGCTACTGACTTCGCTGATAGTGAATATGGAATTCATTATAAATTAATAAATTTCTCGAAGTTTTCTTTGGAATCCACATAAAGGGCAATCTAACACTTTTTTGACTGACTTTCATCAAAAATCGAATAGCATGGATTAAATCCGAAAAAGAACAGATCTTACGTTTATTTTCTTTTTTTTCCTTCGTCGACGTAAAAGCTGATTTTAGTCATCTCACCTTATGTTGTTGGTCCAGTACGATTAAAATCGAAATTTATACCTATAAACATCTGAAATCTTTGAATAAGGGGCATCATATAAAAGAGCTTCTGTTTGTTTTCTTTCAAAAGTTCTTTATGACATGGAGGAGCTTGATATTTTTTTTTTCATGTAACTGTTTCTTAGTAGTATTTCCCGATAAGGTATTATTAAATTACCAGATTATACAAAGAAGTGTTTTATCGGAACCCAAAACACAATTGGGATAAATGAGGTACCACTGGTAGCATCTTGTGTCTCCAAACATTGAGTTTCAATGCGTGATAACATTTAGAATAAAGCTCATTCGAGAATAATAGTCGTTCTAACCTAATTCTAAAAATATCTCTTGTGCTGGCAGAATGAAGTTGGTGTGCTGTGACCAATTTTGTCAACGCACCTTCAGTTACTTTAATTCTTATTTGCTTTTATTTTGCTTCTTTTCAAACTAGCTCGTATATTATTCCTTTGACGCATCTTTTGTTGAAATATGCAAAATGATAATAAAAAATATTTAAAAAAAACTCACGATTTAAATAGATTCACGAAAATAAAGTTGAATATTCCTCTACGAAAAAATATGCAGATTCAGTCCTGGTTATAGAATGCTCTTACAGAATCAGTTTTAAACTGTATATTTCATTTTATTTCCGTCGCTGAACAGTCCACACAATTTTTGGGTTTACGTCTACTGATGTTCAACTCCGTAGCCTTGTAATTTTGAAACAATCCAGAAGACAAGGAAACTACTGGATCAGTAAACCCCAGATGTATTGATTTGTTATTTTAACATGGAGGACTTTAGGACTCTACAGATTTAACGTGCATCAGTTACTATTTACTACACCGGGAGTCTTCGGCGGCGAGATCGAACCCACGAACTCTTAGACATGGGGCCACTGCCCTACTATCCAGGTTATCCTAGCCTTTTTTTATACTGTATATGAAATCATTCGCATTAAGGATTTTTTTATTAGGGAGAAGAGAACTAGGTAGGTAGGTACGTTATTTACGTCACACTAGAGCTGCACAATGGGCTATTGGCGACGGTCTGGGAAACATCCCTGAGGATGATTCGAGGACATACCATCGCAATTTTGATCCTCTGCAGAGGAGATGGCACCCCTGCTTTGACAGCCTGATGACATACGAGGAAAGTCGAGCACTTTACGGTGGAACAGTTTAACGAGGACCAATACCGCGCACACTCCGTCCCTACGCAGACTGATCCAAGTGGTCACCCACCCGCACACTGACCGTAGCCAGTGATGCTTGACTTCGGTGATCTGCTGGGAGCCGTGTCTTAACGATCAGTACTCTGCGGCACTAATAATAATTACATATAATTATAATATTCAAATGCCGTTTATCGTAAAAAGAGTTAAATAGACATTCAATATTTTTTCAATAGTTTAGTAATAGTTTAGAAAGCATTTTAAATTTTAGGGTATACAAATTTATATATGTGTGCAATTTAAAATGGCAAAATACAAAATTTGAACGAAACAGGTATAATAGTTCCTGAATTAACCAATTTTAAAAAGTCGTATGTTTAAAATTTGATTTCTGTTCGATTCTGTCTATTTTACCAATTCGGTTCAAATTTCGTATTTTGTCATTTAAAATTAGGCAATTTTAAAATGATAAAAACCTTATGATTAAAAATGTTTTTACAGAAAAAAAAATTGATAAAAAAAAAAAAAACTATTAAAAGCTATGTTACATCGAATTTGAATTAAACAGTTTTACAATTGTGTGCCAAAATTCTTTAATTGTTAAAAAAGTTCTAAAGATAGAAAATCGGGAAAGTGAAAAGAACTTATTATTCTCCATTACTTATTACTATTATTCTATACTTATTACTTATTACTATTATTCTTATGGAGAATAATATTACTTATTATTCTCCATACCACCAGTTCAAAATTTTTAATGTTATTTTTTTGGGTCTGATTTTTTAACATAGTCTCCATTAATTAATTAGCATATTTCATGTTAGATCCTAAGAAATTAACATTGAGATGAGGTGCGTCCTTGTAGATGAAAATCCTATCAATAGATCAAAAGTAATTCAGGGTTAAATTTTTTTTTGCACACTGTTTTATTGTTTGATTATTATAAAAAATCGACAAAGTTGATTAACGATATTATAACCAAACATTATACTTGGTATAGAAGTCTTGGCGTAACTATATACACTTACGTCTTAAAGTAAACTCACTTGAAAACAGAATCGAAATACGTATATTTAAAAAAAATGTTCCAAAATGTACTCCGATTATTAATGTTCTATTAAACTGTTCCAAATTTTGCTTTTGTATAATATAGTTTTTAACCGTTCTTTGAAATCACGGTTTCTTGACACTAGCTTTGTATATGTGAACAATTAAAGTATTGTTCAACGTATGTCATTAAAAATTGACAGAAAAAATTTAATAATTTTCTCTAGTTTAATGCAATTTAATTTACGCAGATTTAAGAGTTATTTAGCAATAATCGAACATAATCTTAAATATATACAAATGCATTTTTTTAAAAACATTTGAATGCTTGATGAATGAGAAACCCATTTTTTTTTAAAAAGTTAATGTCAAAACAGTTTTGTTTTGCAAATTTAATTTTATGATCAAGGACTGTTTGTAACTGCAAATTTAATTAAATTCTTTTTTGTTGCTTTCTAAAGGAAATAAATTCATTTTTAAAAAAATGAGAGAGTTAGAAATAATTTTACATTCGATAAAACAAGTTTTCATATGCTTTTTTTAAAAAAAAAAATTTAATAGGAAAAGAAAAAGTACTCACTCTCTAAATCGTTTGAAGCAATGTACGGAAAGAGCAGACGATTTCGTAATCATGAAAGTCTTGGTTTAGAGTTCTAAAGACGACCGGGCAGTCTTCACTATCATTTATAGGCAGACGAAAAAAAAAAGAAAAAAGAAGGCAATGGCAGTTGACCTACTGACTCACAGAACAGTATACGGATACACCCTCGGGAAACAGACGTTTTTTTCGCCAGAATTAAAATATGATCCACCTGTGCCTACAAGTTTAAGGTTATTCTGCGGATAATTTTATTAGAAAACGATATTGGAAACTTAACGACCGACGACCGGTGATTGAGATTATTAATCATAATCGATATAAAGAGTCAATGCTCTGGTCTGGTTGCATATATTAGGAGTCACGGTCACTTTTACTCACAATAAAAGATTTTAAAAAAAAAACAAATAAATAATTATGTTATAGTAATTTCTCTGTCGGCTTCGATTAATTTATCTGTCATAGAACTTGCAATATGAAAACCCGTTACTTTCTTTGCGAGAAACTGTTACTTTTGAGTCGAGAACTCGACTGCACTTCTGTAGGAAAGTTCGAGAATGAAGCTTTTTTTCTTCTTTTTTTCCCAGAAATATTTAGAAAGTGTATTAGAAAGTATTTAGGAAATTTTTCTGTTATAAAGATATAAAAGATGGCGGTCGCTCGATCATTGAATTATTAATATTTATGTTAATAATTGGCCGATTTGCATAAAAATTGAGTTAGTATACTTAAATGACTGTTTATAAGTTCAATAGCAATGTGTAGAGGCAAAAAAGAAATCGTGTGGGTGGGTGATCACTTGGATCAGTCTGCGTAGGGACAGAGGGTGTGTGGTATGGGTCCTCGTTAAACTGTTCTACCGTAAAGTGCTCGACTTCGCGTGCAGGTCGTCGGGCTACCGAAGCGGGGATGCCATCCCCTCTGCAGAGGATCAAAATTGTGATGGCATATCTTCGGATCATCTTCGGGGGTGTTTCCCAGACCGTCGCCAATAGCCCATCGTGCAGCTCTATTGCGACGTAAATTAACTACAACAACAACAAAGAAATACCGAGCTTCTTATCTCCATGGCGCCTTAATCGGTGCTCCAATATTTTGTATTTTAAAATTGTTTCTTACATTTAAAAGTTCGAATAATACCGTTTGAAATTGCCAGACTACAAGTTTGAAGGAATGAGGTTCGAGTAAGAAGAGCGGCGAGTCAGAAAACATAAGTTCATAAGACAACTAGAAGAGGGAGAAAGACTAAATTGATTCGGAAGGAAATGTTTAAGTCTTTCAGCTCTAAACAAGTAATATAAAAAAAAAATATTAAAAAAAGTTATAGACAATTCCTACTAAGGTCAACAAAGAAATTTCTTATTTTAGTCACTTTTTATTAAAAAATTGCAATTTTTTCCACCATATAAAACTAAAGTTAATTAATTGAATTTAATGAATGAATTAATATTTGAAAACACTGTATTAACATCATCCACTACAAGTTTAAAAAACTGTATTTGAACTTGATTGGATGAATAAAAAGTACTTTATGAACGATTGAAAATTTGAACAAGATAAATATATACAGTTGTTGTTGTTAATTTACGTCGCACTAGAACTGCACAATGGGCTATTGGCGACGGTCTGGGAAACATCCCGGAGGCGAATTGACAAAACATACCGTAGATTGCAAAGGGTTGGCGAAAATTTCTATTGGCGTTAAAGGAGCGTTCTCGCAAATCGCCAAACAGCTGTGTGCTTATGATTTTGTTTTGTTTTCGGTATCGCATAACATTCAACAAGTTGGATATGGGTGCGGGTCTTCATTTGATTCTTCTGCATCAAATAAAATATAAAGCGTATTTTTTTTGTTATAGCGCCGACATAATCGTTTGTATCTGTTGACTAAATTGTGTTTATTAGCGTATTTTAAAAGGTCGTAATAGAACTAAGATAGAAAAATTACACATTATTACATATTCTATAGTTTCATAACTTTCATTAAATGTATTTCGAGTCTACTCATCCACTAATTCGAATTAATAATTTCACAATAACNGTTCGATCGATAACTATGTAAACACTTCACGTCAACAATACAACAACAAATCAGCAAAGAAAACAGTGAAATTGATAGTGAGATTCATTACAAGAAATATTTATACTACAAATAGCTTCATAGTTTTCATGATACTACTATGATAACTAAGTGAAGGAAATTAACATGTCAAAAGTAAATCTTTTGAAATTATGAATGCAAAAGGAATTATGAATGCAAAATTATTATTGAAATTATGAATGCAGAAGGAATTATGAATGCAAATGCAGAAGGAAAAAGATCTTTCACCAGATTAAAATTGATAAAAAATTATTTGCGTTCAACAATGAATCAAGATCGTTTGGCATCGCTCGCACTTATGTCTATTGAATACGACATTTTGGGCAGTTTGGAATTCGACAGCATAATACAAGATTTCGTTGAATCCAAAAATAGCAAAAAAGTGATATATTAGATCATAAGATTCTGTAAAATAATTTATAACCGAAAAATATTATATTTTTATTTGTATCTTCATAATTTTGTGCAAAATACACTTGTTGTTTTTAAAGCTAAATTATTTATGTCAACAAATTTTTTTCTCCCAAGTTTTTCGCAGGCCCATGAATTTCGTAGGCCCTAGGTACGTGCCTAGTGTGCCTATAGGTTAATCCGGCCCTGCATACCGCACACCCTCGGACCCTACGCGGACTGATCCACGTGGTCACCCACCGGCACACTGACCACAGCCAGTGATGCTTGACTTCGGTGATCTGCTGGGAACCGTGTCTTAACGAAGGGCGCGTTGTATCAGACAACTTTAAAAGTTTAAATTTGGTGACGTGGACCACACGTGCTACCCCTTAATGTTTTTTTATAGAATTTATCTGACACTAGTTGTAGTTCATTTACGTCGCACTAGAGCTGCGCAATGGGCTATTGGCGACGGTCTGGGAAACATCCCCGAGGATGATCGAAAGACATGCCATCACAGTTTTGATTCTCTGTAGAGGGAGGGCAACCCCGCTTCGGTAGCCCAAAGACTTACGAGCGAAGTCGAGCTCCTTACTGTAGAACAGTTTAACGAGGACCCATACCGCACACCCTCTGTCCCTTCGTAGACCGATCCAAGTGGTCACCCACCTGCACACTGATCGCAGCCACTGTCGCCTGACTTCGATGTTCTACTGAGAATCGTGTCTAAACCATCACTCCAATGCGGGACAAGTTTATATCGAACATTTAGAAATAAATTTTATACAAATTTTAAGTGCAGTTGCCACGGTTTTTATCTTTATTGTGCAAGCGTTTCTGATTGGATACTAGATGTATATACAAGACAGATCGAGATTAGATTTGTATTGACTCCAGAATTGCTACCGATTTCAGGCCAATCAGCCTACTCCTATTCTTCTGGAAAATTTTCGCTAACTCCAAAGAGTCCAGCAATTCATCAACTTCGTACCTAAACAGCAAATATGCATTTAGGAAAAACCTTTCCACAACTGATAAGATTTCATCTGCGATGGAATTTGTAAAAATGATACAACGCGGCCTCTGACCGCGTCTGGCATAAACATTAATTACCAAGATGATTAAGCAAAACCTACAATTTGATTTTATCCATATCATCGACTCTAATCTAAAAAAACAGGACACTTCAAGTTTGATTGAACAATAAATTTTTCCGACAAGAGACCCACTGGAAAGCATTTTACGCCCAGTTCTATATCTAATCTATGCCAGTGATATTGATACCTATAATCCTGATTATCTGCTTTAATGTGGATGATCCGCTGTCGCAACATGAAACCCAAATCAAGCAGTCAAGAAACTAAATGTTCATATTCCACCCATAGAAGAAGGGTGTTCTATTAACACAGATAAGTCAAAACTTATGGTAATCAGTTGAAAAGAGAGACATTAACCAATAACAGGTACACTATTCGCAGACAACTTCCCAATCGTTACAAATGCAGATTACTAGTATTAATAAGAAGATAAATTGAAACAATCACATTGACTTCATTGAACATGTATATAGTGGATTGTCACTAAAAAAGCCCAAGCAGCTGCCAAAGATCGATATTAAATTCCAATTATATCAGCTCCTTCAGACCAATCGTTATAGCCCAGCCTAAACAATAGACAAATAAAAAATTAGAGCTAATTCATAACAAATTCTCAAGAAGAATCACGGGGGCACCATTTCAAACAGAACCATCAGAAAAGGCCTCGATATTGAAACAATAAACGAATTCATGAATAAACTAAGCGATATTTGTTTCAGCAGCTCTAAGAAAAGCACTGCCGCAGATCTCTACCTAATTTTTAACAAGGAACTAATTCATGATGACAAAATCCGATCACAAATTACCTTCTCTCAAATCCCTCCCACCCTCGTTCTTATACATGGTTGCTCCAGCATAGAGGAAAAGAACAAGGGTTCGTTCATTTCATTTATTTCAGTTTTAATAGATTAAGTGAATATTTTTACGGAAGTGTTCCTTTTCAGAATAAACTGCGATGAATGCTAACTAGTAAGAATCTAACTTAAGAATTTTAATAGGAAACACAGAATCAAAATTTTTAAAAAAAATTTGTTAACAAGTGACTATTTTAACTAATTTTTCATACGTGAAAATCTACCCATAAACAATTAAACGTAGTAAAATACCTACCAACCACTACTTTTATCTTAAAACATTTTCTATGGACTGCACTTTTAAGCTAGAAAATAGTACTGCTTCATCAAAATAGTTGTATTTTTAATATTTTAGCAAACTAAAAATCATTTGAGTGATTTTGAAGATATTTCTTGAAAATTGAAATTTTCACACAGCTTCTTCATTCTGCAGAAATTTCTTCGTCCCGCTATATCATACCATTCGTATTATTAAATGACAGCAATTTTAAAATTATGATGCCTCATTTTAAATATTAATTAGCATGGTTTAAATGGGTGATATTCTCTATTTAAACTTTGATTTTCTTTCTCCCCATACTTTCTGTCATGATATCACAAAGGACGCGTTTCATAAAACAGAGAAAGCACATACTTTTGTGTGTGAATATTTTGTCATTGGAAACACTTCGTTTTGACTTCAGGTTCAACTATTTGCAATTCCGTTATTAACGACTACTAATGTTCAACTCCGTAGCCTTGTAATTTTGAACCCGATCCAAAAGACAAGGGAACTCCTGTATCAGTACCCTTAGAGGTATGATTTGTTATGGGAACTTTGTGGCTCGACAGATTTAACGTGAAATCAGTCACCATTTACTTCGGCCAGCGAGGATCGAGCCCACGAGCTCTCGAACATGGGCCCAGTGCCCTACCAACCAGGCTATCAGGTTAATATATTTTTCATTTTATAACCGTCGTTGAACAGCCGACCCACTGTTTGGGTTTACGCGTGACCTACGAGATGAGAAGGCCTTCCAACTGCGTCATCAACCCCTCGTGACGTCACCATACTTCGATCATTCCCCGCGACATGTGACACTTTCTTCATCGTTTGTTTTAGCCAGGCGTACTAGTATTTTGATTTAGATATTTGTAATCGAAACTCATTCTTATGTAATTAATTATTACAAAATTTTAAACACGGTATGCCTCATCCATGTTGTGTACCAGCATGTCGAGGGAATTACAAAAANAATTGTACTTCAATAATTGTATCATTGAAATTCTTATATATTTTTCTAAGCATTTATTGCAATTTTTAACACTCATTTTTAATGATTTTTATAATGATTTACAATATATTTCAATGTTTATTTTTAAGTAGGTAAGAAATGGAATCTAATTTTTTTTTTCATTTGTTGTGATAGAAATAATGTCAAAATAAGCATTAAAAGTTTGTTGTTACTTTTTTGTGTCATAAAATATTCATTTTTTGTGATTTACCATGTTTCTTTTTTTATTTAGTATTTGATATGAAATTTTTATTCTGTTCACAAATAAAATATTCAAAAATGATATCTAAGCTCCAAAAATCACTTTTTTTTAAGGACTGTGATTCATATATTTGTACGGATAACATATTTTTTGATAATCACGAATCTTTTAGTTTTCAAATTTTTCTATTAACAGTTTTATTAATTAAATTTAAAGAGAAAGAGAAAAAAGGTTTCAGTCCTTGTTTCCAACTATTTTTGCGGCATTTTAATGAGTGTCTAATATTATATGAAGAGACAAAGTGGAAATAATTATATTAGGAAATCTTTCCCCATGTTAAAAGCTCGCAACAAGCGGAGAGGAATGATCGAAGTACAGTGACGTCACGAAAGAGTTGTAAGGCCTTCTCATTCTCGAAGGTCACGGTTTACGCCGACTAATGTTTTACTCCGTAGCCTTGCCATTTTGAAACCGATCCAGAAGACAAGGGAACTCCTTGATCGAGTATTGGGAGAAGTTTGCCCTCGTGGAGGACTTTTTGATGGAGCTAACCCGCATTTGCGTTACATGGAGAGGAAGACCACGAGAACTTCCCACGGTTAGCGTCACAGCAAAGGGACTCTTACCCATGATCTGTCTACCACTGAGGATATATCACGTCAGCACTGTGGTCGCTGCAAGCCGGATGCGGAAGTCGTATCGACTGGGATTCGAGCCCAGGTCGCCTCATTTGAAGGCGAACGCTCTATCCCCTGAGCTATCGCGGCTCAGGGACTAGTAATTTTCTGCAAAATAAGTTCTTATTACAAAACATATACACTCACAATTTTTATTTAAAAGGAATCTAAGCAAAAATGGAGCTCGAAACAATTTTTTTTCTCAGAATATTTTATGTCCTGATTGAATCAATACTTTTTAAAGACAAATAATATTTTTTTCAGTTCATTCTCCGAGAATCTTCTTGCTGTATTCTTGTTGTTGAAGCTCTTTCCATTCTTTTTTCACTGCCAAACGCTTCAGCTGACCATCCCTAACAAGTAATATAAAAGAAAAATTTAAAGCGAATTCCTACTTACGTCAACAAAGAAAAATTTTATTTTAGTTACTTTTTATCAAATAATTACTCTTATTTCTCCCATATAAAACTAAAATTAATAAATTAATATTTAAAAAAATAGTATTAACATCAAGTTTAAAAAATGTGTTTGAATTTGAATGGATGCAAAAAAAGTATTTTATTAACGATTGAAAATTTGAACAAGATATAGGAAGAGTGTGAACTAATAGTAGGAATTGAGGAATAAATTTTGACTCATCATGATCTACTTGAAAATATCCTTTAATGAAAATCGCGAGGTTCAGGGATTCTTTTGAACAAGCTTCCCTATAACTCATAATGCAAACAAGTTGGATGTTATTGTTGTTGTTGACGTATGCCTGTTTAGGCAGAGGGGGTGCGATTGTTCTTGTTCTCCAGTGGCGCCATCTATGGCCAAGAATTCGACTTCTGCCACACCATACGTAACACCCGTTTATAGGGCGGACCCATTCATACATCTATTCATTCATCCACAGATCGTAATTTTGACCTGAATCAGAGAACGATCGATCTCCAGTCCAGTACCTTCAGAGATATTGATTTGTTATGGGAACATGAAGGACTATTGCGACTCGACAGATTTAACGTGCATCAGTCACTTCGGATGGTGGGGTTCGAACCCTCGAACTCTCGGACATGGCCCCAGCTCCCTACTGACCAGGCTATCACGGTCAAGTTGGTTGAAATTGTCATAAGGAAAACGATGACATTAATTCTAGGCTACTCTTCGACTAGAATTTTACGTTAACATTATAACACTAATTTCCAGTAATATTTAGCCGAATGTTTTACTGAATTTTTTTTAATAGTGATTAACAAGGGAAAAGAAAACATCTGATTTGGATACACTTACCTGGATTGATCAAAAAGAATCCCGTTATTAAAAAAAAAAAAAAAAAAAAAAAAAAAAAAAAAAAAAAAAAAAAACTTTAATCTGTATATCTCTCTTTTAAAAGCTCCTTTATTCAAGGGGCCATCTGCATTTACCTATAAGCCTTGAAACTGGTTTATTTTTTCCTAATGGTTTCTGGGACAAACAAATTACAAAGCATTTTACTGAGAGCGTTCATTTTACTCTGTATTAAAGGATGTTCATCCTAACGTTCATTTTGTATAGCTGCTCAAAAACTATTAACACGCAGAAACTTGAAATTATTGAGGCGTATAAGAATTAAGATAGAATACAAAAAAAAATGAACATCCGATAATGTGTTCGACTTGTTGGAAACACGAGTGCAACGATTGAGTTAAAATTTGAAAATTCCTATTCAAAATTTTTTCTATCCTCACTTATTGCAACTTAAATTGCTTCGTTGCGAATTTTTCTCAATTATTTTTGCTTTGTCGCTCAAAATCTATTAAACTTCAAATCACTAAGGCGTGTAAAAATTGGTATATATATTTTCTTTCCCACGAAGGCGTGAAAAAAATATCGGTATTAAATCAGTATGGGTGAAGTTTTAATATTTAACAATATGATACTTTGTGCNACTCTAACCGATGATCTGTCTACCACTGAGGATATATCACGTCAGCACTGTGGTCGCTGCAAGCCGGATGCGGAAGTCGTATCGACTGGGATTCGAGCCCAGGTCGCCTCATTTGAAGGCGAACGCTCTATCCCCTGAGCTATCGCGGCTCAGGGACTAGTAATTTTCTGCAAAATAAGTTCTTATTACAAAACATATACACTCACAATTTTTATTTAAAAGGAATCTAAGCAAAAATGGAGCTCGAAACAATTTTTTTTCTCAGAATATTTTATGTCCTGATTGAATCAATACTTTTTAAAGACAAATAATATTTTTTTCAGTTCATTCTCCGAGAATCTTCTTGCTGTATTCTTGTTGTTGAAGCTCTTTCCATTCTTTTTTCACAGCCAAACGCTTCAGCTGACCATCCCTAACAAGTAATATAAAAGAAAAAATTTAAAGTCAATTCCTACTTAGGAGAACAAAGAAAATTTTTATTTCAGTTGCTTTTTGTTAAATAATTACTATTCTTTCTCCCATATGAAACTATAATTAATGAATCAAATTTAATGAATGAATTATTATTTGAAATAAAAACTGTATTAACATCAAGTGTCATCCAGTACAAGTATAAAAAAAACTGTATTTGAATTTGAGTGGACGAATAAAAAGTATTTTATTAACGATTGAAAATTTGAACAAGATGTATAGGGAGAGTATGAACTAATAAGTAGGAATTGGAAGAGAAATTTTGACTCATCATCATTTACTAGAAAATATCATTTAATAAAAACCGCGAGGACCAGGGATTCTTTTTAACTATCTCATAATGTAAACAAGTTGGATAAAATTGTCATAAGGAAAACGATGACAATAATTCTAGGCTACTCTTCGTCTAGAATTTTACGTTAACATTATAACACTTATTTTCAGTAATATTTAGCCGAATGTTTTACTGAAATTTTTTTTTATAGTGGTTTACAAGGGAAAAGATAACATCTGATTTGGATATACTTACCTGGATTGATAAAAAAGGATCCCGTTATCAAAAAAGAAAAAAAAAACTTTAATTTGTATATCTCTCTTTTAAAAGCTCTTTATTCAAGGGTCCATCCGCATTTACCAATAAGCTTTAAAACTGGTTCATTTTTTCCTAATGGTTTCTGGGATAAACAAATTACAAAGCACTTTGCTAAAAGCGATCATTTTTCTCTGTATCAAAAGATGTTCATCTTAACGTTCATTTTGTATAGCTGCTCAAAACTATAACACGCAGAAACTTGAAGTTATTGAGGCGTATAAGAATTAAGATAGAATGCAAAAAAAAAAAAAAAANAAAAAAAAAAAAAAAAAAACATCCGATAATGAGTTCGACTTGTTGAAAACTTTACAAACCACACGAGTGCAACGATTGAGTTACAATTTGAAAATTCCTATTCAAAATTTTTTCTATCCTCACTTACTGCAACTTAAATTGCTTAATTGCGAATTTTTCTCCATTATTTTTGCTTTGTCGCTCAAAATCTATGAACTTCAAATCACGAAAGCGTGTAAAAATGGTATATACATATTTTTCTCTTCTCGAAGACGTGAAAAAAGTATCGGTATTAAATCAATATGGGTGAAGTTTTAATATTTAACAATATACTACTTTGTTCCAATTACATAACCTTTCAATATTTGAGTTTTGTACGAAATACAATTATCAGTGGCAGCTAAATAGAGCCTACATTTAAAAATCAAGTAGAAGAACCGGATAAAAAATTCTCTATCTGACTTTCATTATACTGTTATAGTAGGGAAATTTGTTTTTGTTTTTCTAATTTTAACACATTATACTATCTTTTTATGCTACTGAAAAAACATTTTCTCAAACTATGAAAATTCGTTGTTGAATTCTCATTAACACTATAGCAGTTACGTATAACCAAAATTTATTTAGTGTGATTTAATAAAGGTTTTATATATGGTTCCCCTTTTTTCCCATTAACTTTACTTTGTAGTACATAGCATATTTTTTATTTCTATATATTACCATTATTATTTAAGCATTGGTGTCAATAATAATCTGGCGATTTTTTTCTGCTCCAGTTATTATTTTCATTTACACCACTCAAGTATATCTTTCGCTCAAATATTGCGATATAATTTTTTTTTCCAGTTTCGTCCCTAAATTATTAAAACTAGTGGACTGCACCCCCTGCTCGCTGACGCTCACCAACCCCCAAAATTGCTATGCAATCTTATATGGTTTGCTTTGCAAACGAAGCTCGCTACTAACTTAGGTACATTACAAATGCACAAAATTCCAAGAATTCAAAACAATCATTCAAATCCATATAACAACTTTCTTTAAAAAAAATTACATCATTTTAGTAAGTACTAAGTCATTAACATAAAGTTGAATTCAAATACATGACATGTAATTCGTTAAACCTATTAGAAATGTGCTATAGTATAAAACCCTAAAGCGTAACAGCACGACTGAGACTCATTTTTCAATGAATAACTAATAACAATAATAAAACAAATAAATTCGTGATAGAAATCAAAAATCGTCAAATAAATTCGTAATATATAAATTAGTGAAAAAAAGCGCTCTCGACAAAATACTACAATAGAGATCTATCGACAAAAACTACTCACTTCTGCCTAGCTTAATAGTATAAGATTGCCGCAGCTGATAATACTCTCTCTGGTTATTTCAGTTTCCGTTTTTAAAAGCGCTATATGTTGAACCACCTCAGCTAGATTTGGCATGTGATATTTTTAGCGGCTATCATTGGTCGATTTCTTAGCGTTGCCATTCGGGAAGTTGTAATGAGGCTTTTTTTGTCGCCGTGTAAGAGAAATATATATATATAGATATTAAATATCATCTAAATTATTAATATAGACAGGATAAAAAAAATTCAGACATATGTAAATATTTTTTTCTTTTTTTTAGTTTTAGAACAATAATAAAAATTGAGATGTAGTTTGAGTTTAGTCAGAGGAGAGGCCCCTGTTATTTTAAAGAAAGATTATCTTACCACTCCAAATCAACTAATCCACCTTGTTTCGAAATAACAGATTTCACACGCTTCGTAAAGGCAATGGCATTCTCTCCCTCCTATACAATACAATGGTGTATTAGTATAGGTGATAAAATTTAATACTATATAATAATAAACGAACTATAAAGTTAGGACTATAGGTTCGTAAACATACAACCGTCCAATACAAATAAACTCAAAATTACCATTCTTGCCATGGGAGGCAAGTACCAGACGTCACAGACGATGGCCCAGGAAGTCATCATCATGAACAAGTAATGCACATAACCTTGCTTGCTACTGTTCCAAAAAGGATCACCGAATCTCGAATCATACTGAAAAAGAAAGAGTTTCAATTAGAATTAAATTGGAAATACATTAAGAGGAGAGTTCCTCATTATTGTTAATTGTAAATAAAAATTTCCTGTCGATTGAATGAGCTTTTGTTTGGAGCGTTTTGCAAATCGGTGGAAAAGTTATTGAAAAATTAAAAGAACTAAATAACTGAAGTTCTTGCATAATATATATTTGTTTTAAAATGTTCGAATATGTTGTAAAAAAAACCGTTTAATAACAAATTCTTCACGATTCTATACGGACTATATAAGGGGCAAAAATTAATTAAATCTGTATTTAATGATAATTATTAGAATCATCATTCCCCGAAGCTCAGATAATAATATTAAGTTGAAAGGCAAAGAACTTGAAAAATTGGGGAATTTATAATCATTGAGCATGGTTTTCGTTTCATACTATTAATACTTTAGGGAAAAAAAAGAAAATACAGAATGAAATATCTTTAAGTTCTCTAACATTTTTATTTCTATAAATATAGTATTTAATTCGATATTTGATAAATTTAGAATAAAAAAATAAATTAAGAAAGATTTTATTACTTATAAATTGATTAGCAATAATTTTTAGTTCAGTTTAATGATGAATCGTTTACTACTCGACTCAATCCAGAAGGCAAGGGAACTTAGCATTAAGATAAACTAGCCTTCGTGGAGTACTTTTTTTTATTTTATTTTATAACCGTCGTTGAACAGCTGAACCGATATTTTGGGTTTACGACTACTAATGTTCAACTCCATAGCCTTGCCATTTTTTGAACATAATCTAAAAGGCAAGGGAACTCCTGGATCAAGTATTGGGAGTAATTTGCCTTCGTTGTGAACTTTTTGATGAAACTAATTCGCATTTGCGTTATATGGAGAGGAAAACCACAGAAACCTTCCACGGTTAGCTCGACGGCGAGGGGGCCTCTAACCCGTGGCCCGTCTCCCACAGAGAATAATTTACTTCAGCACTGTGGTCTGTGCAAGCTGGATGCGGAATTCGTATAGACCAGCCATCGCTGGGATTAGAAGTCGGTTCGCCTCATTGGAAGGCGAACGCTCTATCCCCTGTCACGCCTATCACGGCCCAGGAATACTTTCCGCCTATCACGGCCCAGGAATACTTTATCACGTTATATGGACGAAGATATAACAGGAAACAAACCTTAATGGCGGCCGGGTATATGGTGCCACCGACTTCAAAACTTCCTTTCTTAAACATCATCACAGATGTGTTGTTGATGCAGGTTCCTGTCAAAAATAAGTAAAGATTAAATTAAAAAAAGAAATCAGTAAATACAAGTAAATGGACGGCGGTTTCTTGAAATGAAAACACGTAGTACAATAATTACTGTAATAAAATAATAATTTTAGGAATTTCTTTTCACAAATCAATCCCATTCCCAAAAATATTTTAGCATGACAACACTAGAAAAACAATGACAATAAAGTGTTGATATCCTTTACTCTCTGTTTTAGGTTTTACTTGAATATCACAGGTCAGGCTGTTAGTTTTGTACTTACTGTGTTCTGTATGACTCGAAGACATAGTTGCCGAAGTCATAGTTGTATAAGTCATAGACTCATGACCTAAAAAGGTCTGTGATCTTTCCTTGATTTTTCTTGTCAGATTTAGTTTACAGTACACGTTTGCTCAGCGTACCTATACTCCGCTAAGAAAATAACATTGCGGCATAGGATTTAAGTAGTCATCCGCGACTGTATATAGTTCTGTTCTATTTAGTCACCATTATGCTTTCAAAACGATAAAAAAAAAGCTTTTATACTCGACAACTCGATTAAACTCGACAGACAAAAATTTAATTCGTGCTATTTTTTGTAAGTGATAAGAAGCTACGGCGTTTCTAGAGTAGACGATGTTGATATTCGTTCGCGTTTAGCATCCACTTATCGTGCACTTAGATGCAAACAGGCTCTCTCCATGGGGATAATGGTTTTTTTCTTAGCAACAGAGTATACAGGGTGCGTAGTCAGATTTTTCATAAAAAAATAAGCACTTTTAAGTATTTTTTAAGAACTCAAAAAACATTTTTAATCACTTCAACAAAAAGGAATTCATAACTAGGATCTGTGCATTAACAAAAATTATTTCCTTTTATCGTTTAAAGTTCTTAATTTATAAACATAAAATCAATAAAATTCAAAAATAGTTTCAAATACTATACATAATCATAATAAAATAACTAGTTTCTGACAAACATTACAGAGAAAATTATAAAAATCATGATTTTTTTTTGTAATTTAGAACGAAAATCGATACGGCAAAGAAAAAATCTGTTTTTAAAAGATAAAAAATTAAGCACTTTTAAGGGCTTTCAAAAAACGTAAATCAAAAATAATCACATTTAAGTACTTTTTAAAAACGCTACGCACCCTGGTATAGAGAGAAAGTTACAAACGATTAAATACGAGAAGCATGGTGATTCGGCCTTATGCAAATTCCCATGATTTGTCGTTCCATAGGAAAACAATTTGCTTGCCTTAAACTGGAAACAAAACATTATTTGTAACATCTATTACACACATCATCAGTTCAGAAAAAAAATCGGTGCTATGGTGCCGATCATATTATTTTTACTAGTTTTGTCAATCACGGCGGCCATTTTTCCTCCGTATTTCAGGAGTTTGGAAGAGAGAATTGTGATGTTTTTCCTTCAAAAAACGGTTAACGTTAACTAGACAGTTCGAATTTGTTGAATAACATGAACGCTATTATACCGATCCCAGAAATTGGTTCAATAACGTTATTGTAAATGAACCGATATCGTGTTCGATTCGGATTAGTTCTTGTAAAGTGTTGCTTTGGACAGAATGGTAGTGGAGAAATGCCATACTAAGTATAGTTCGTTCGCCAGGAGTTGGCACTTGGCTCCACCTCCTCGGACGCAGAGCTCATTTCAGCGCGGGAGTAGGAAGAGAAGCATCTCCGCGCTTGAAATTGAGACAGCCCTTGATGCGCGACGAACACAAACAGTGGATTCTTTTTCAATCACTTACTTCGCTTTACCATCTGCTATTATACCTTTCATTTCTCTAGCCAATTAAATATGTTTTAAATTTCAAAACTGCTGTTTTCCCAGCAAAATGTCTCACAAAAGGACGAACTATTTTTATTTTACTTTATCCGTCGTTGAACAGCCGACCCAATTTTTGGGTTTACGACTACTAATGTTCAACTCTGTAGCCTTGTAATTTTGAACCCAATCCAGAAGACAAGGAAACTCCTGGATCAATAACCCCCAGAAGTATTGATTTGTTATGGAAGCATGGAGGACTTTGCAACTCGAAAGATTTAACGTGCAGCAGTCACCAATTACTACACGGGGAGTCTTCGGCCGGTGGGGATCGAACCCACGACCTCTTGGACACGAGACCAGTGCCCTACCAACCTGGCTATCCCGGCGTTTAAATGTTTCAAAAAGGACGAACTATTCTCTCAAAAGAGAGAAAGATCATCACATTTATGAAATATTTAATGCTAAAAAATTGTAAATAAAGTTTGCGGAATAAATATTTTCGTCATAAGATCGCCGAATAGCAATCTTGTTCAGGATTGCTCACAACCGTTTCCCAAAAACAGTGAAATAGTATCGTCGCATACTCCTGGTGAACGAACTATATTCCATATCTCACGGAGAAAAAAAATAGTTTGTCTTCCTAGCTTTTGACAGCTGCTAACGAGCTTTAATACTTCTTTTTTTCTAATTTTTTTTTATTTGTGCGGAACACTCTCGACGTAATTCTTGCGGAACACTCTCGACCTAAGGGATTATTTGTGCAAAGGATTATTGTAAGGGATTATTGTATCAATTCACTTAGGATATATTTTGAGGTCAGTTGCAGTGTCATTAAAAAAAAAAATAGAATAACTGCTATGCGAACCTTCTGGAAATATCAGAATCGGAAGTTTCTCTGCATCTTGACAATGTTCTTGGAGCCTAGAATGAGAAGGTAATTTGAATTGTCAGATAGNGTCAAACGTTAGTCATTGTTTTAAATTTAACAATAGACTATTCATTTTTTCACGTATTTTAAAAATAACATCAGTGATAATTTCTAACTTAGAGCTATATTTGAACAAAAATATAGTTTATTGTGCACATTTAAATGCGTAATTATTTTATATTCGTTGTGTCAGATAAATTCAATAACGAACATTACTTGGTAGCACTGGTCCACGTCACGCAATTTATACTTTTATAGTAGCTCGATACCAAGCTTCTTTTTTCCTTTCAATTCCTACTATTAAATTCACACTCTCCCTATATATATGTAATACAAAAATTAAATACTTTTGTATTAATAAAAGCATCAAAACTTCATTCGTTTTCATAAAATATCTTTGGTAAAGGATAAGGGTAGAAATTCTATTTTGGGACTTCAAGGCTAAAAACATGCCAATGAATAATAATTAGATTTATATTTCAAAAGAGAAGTTATTTTAAGATCTTTCACTTCCATATAAGGAAAGATTAAACGATTTTCTATGAGTAATAAATAATTTTGATGAGGCGTAAGAATACAGAAAAGGCAATAATGACTGGCCTCATCACAACTTTTAATCATCCTATAAAACGCAGGAGCAATGTTTTTGCGTGGCTTTTTGTTGTTTATAATGCCTAGCTAACGTACGTTAGTTTAGACGGGATATGGGTCTTCCCCTCTCCAACTTGGAGGGGGCTAAGATGTATGCTTTCACCATCGCTACTAAATAAAAAAGATTATGCACAACATGGACTCATTAATCATGCTGTTTTGACCTGTAATTAACTAAAAAATATCGGTGTGGATCCACCGTTATTTCATATATTTATGTTCAAATAAATTTTTTAAAATTTGTAGTGGATGACACTTTATGTTAATGCAGTTTTTTAAAGTATTAATTCATTAATTAAATTTAACTAATAAATTTTAATTTTATAAGGGAGAAAAATGTTTTAATTATTTAATAAAAAGTAACTAATATAAAACTTTTCTTTGTTGACCTTAGTAGGAATTGATTTTGAATTTTATTTTTATATTACTGTTTATTAAAACAAAATGAAAGACTGCTAGACAAAACTTAACCTTAGAGATTACGAATAATTGTTATAATTATTGAAAGCAATGCAATGCTTTTCACTAGAGAATTTACATCAACGTTAGAAAACAACTAATATTTCTTTACTGCAAATAGTTAATAAAATACTAAAATTGAAAATAAATCTGCGAATAAATTTTAGTTTCATATGGGAGAAAAATTTTTAATTATTTAATAAAAAGTAACTAAAATAAAACTTTTCTTTGTTGATCTAAGTAGGAATTGATTTTTAATTTTATTTTTATATTACTGTTTATTAAAAAAATAAAGAAAGACTGCTAGACAAAACTTAACCTTAGAGATTACGAATAATTGTTATAATTATTGAAAGCACTGCAATGCTTTTAACTAGAGAATTTACATCAACGTTAAAAAAAAACTAATATTTCTTTACTGCAAATAGTTAATGAAATACTAAAATTGAAAATAAATCAGCGAAAAATATGTGGACCTTTCTGCAATAGAAATTAAAATCCAGCATTTGAAGGGATTAAAGAATGAATTGGTTGTTTTTTTTATCGTAGAACGAAATAAGATAGAAGATAACCTTTTCAAGACTAAAGCTCTGTCTTTCATTTCAAAACGTTCGAACCAGACATGTGAGGTAGCACGATCGAGAGCCCTCTGAAGAAGTCCTAAGAATCCACCCTGCTTCTGACCCACCTGCAATTATACATATAAACACATTATCGTCTGTTTTAAAAAACTTTGTACTTTTGGGGTCGAATATTTAAACAATGGTTTTTATATTCGATCAGCGGGAATGAAAAAATCAAAACATGTTTGATTAACAGAGGAGTTGAAAGGGGAATTATTAAAAACGGTTCTGCGTCAATTCATCGTGAGACGATCCGTCGTGATCACAGTACATTACAATGACGACTCGTCGAAAAATCAATTCGTCGTAGGAAAATTAAATTTTGACAGTTCGAAAATTAAACTTGAACAATCTTGAATATTTTCAACAACATGGGCAGGTCCAAGATAGCCTGGTTGGTAGGGCACTGGGTCCATGTCCAATAGGTCGTGGGTTCGATCCCCGCCTGACGAAGACTCTCCCGTGTAGTAAATGGTGACTGATGCACGCTAAATTTGTCGAGTCACAAAGTCCTCCATGTTCCCATAACAAATCAATACCTCTGGGGGTACTGATAAAGAAGTTTCCTTGTCTTCTGGATTGGGTTCGAAATTACAAGGCTAAGGTGTTGAACATTAGTAGTTGCAAGCTCAAACTTGGGTCGGATGTTCAACAACGGTTATACAAAGAAAAAAAAAACATTTGCGATGGGTAGAATATTATAATTAAGACAAATATGTTGCGACGTATACAAATATTTTACTTAGCCGAGATGAATGATAATTAAAAAATATTTTGCAACCAATATCTATCTTTTTCATGAAATTATTTTACTGGATGCTGAGATCTACCCACAATAATTATTTTTTATTGAGTGACTCACGCAAGCATTTTTCATGCACTTTCTATTCCACTTGTAAGTAAGAAAATCATAAAAACCTTCCCTCTTTGGAGGTTTTTTGATTTCTGAGCGGTCAGACTACATATTTAGTTAGCTTATGCAGATAATGCAAGAGTTTTGTCTTCGTAAATAGATATATTTTATCATAATGGCTAGAAATTGTGCTCGCGATAAATTGTCGCTACGACAAGTTGCCGCAGCGATGAATTGTGACAACAAATTGTCGCCGCTATGAATTGTGTCCATGACGGACTGTCGCCCCAACGAATTATGCGCGATGAATTGTTGCACGATGAATTGTGTGCAATAAATTGACGCGACACCATTTAAAGCTTTAGTAGGCAATCAAAGTGGTTTTATTATTTTCATTTCCACCTTTCTCAGTAAGCAATTATTAGACTTCGGCAGCGTTTTCTGTATTTTCGTGATAAAATATTAATGATCAGCTTTTGTAGTTAAATACCTTTTAGATCCCTTAATTTGACCTTGATTCATACTCTGCATAGATATAGATTCACAGAAGTCAGAATTTCATTTAACTTGATGCTGAATTTATAGTAATAACTTTAAAAATTAAAAAAAAGAACTTGAAATATTCTAAAATTTGACGAAAACGAGAGGTAGATCTTTTTTAGCCCATGACAAGTATAATATTAGTTTCTATTTGTATCAGCAAAAGTAAAATTTTAATAAATTTTTAAACAGGGGTAATGAAAGTTGTGTAAAAATTATGAAATAAATAAAAGCCAAATTTACCAAAGCGTAGCAATTGTCGCTGGCAAGAATGACGACATCAATTGGAGAAGTATGATTGGCCACACAAATTCCTCCTCCCTTCGCTTTGTTCTCTCTAGAAGAAGAATTTGAGAAAGAGAGAAAATCTATCAAAGAATTGAAAGTATAGGAGTGAATGTATCAGTAAATGGGTCCATACTTAAATTCGATTCCTCAGGAACCAAACGACCGATTTGATTCAAATTTTGTATACAAAATTACAATTTTTAAAATGATGTAAAAATTTGTATATATTTCAGTTCAAAATTTGTTGGTCTATTATTAAATAAATTATTAAAAATAATTTTTTTTATCTATACAAAAGCGTACTTTAGAATAGTGAGCAAAATTGTTTCGATTCGCTTAAAAAATTTACAAGATATGGCTAAATACGCAGAATGTTAAATTAGCATTAAGTAATCCACACTTTGGACCGCTCTCTTGAGATAATTCAAGGAATCATATTTCTTAGATTAGGGCTACTCCTCCCTTTTTTGAGTTGCAGAAATTTAAACACGTCGGAAAAAATTTATTCAGAGAAAGCTAATTTTTGTGTCCAAATTCGTAACTTAAAATATCTTGTTCACGAATTAATTAGCATATTTTAAGTCACCGCCATTAAGATTGAAACGCAGCACGTTCATTAGATCAAATTAATTCAGTGCGTTTTTTACGCACAGTATGAGTAAAACAGGACAAGAAAAAATATTTAATCTCGAGAGGAATCTTTGAGAAATATATGTATTGTTCATTGAATCCTACCGAAAATAAAACTAGATGGTTTTTTTTATTGTTTTCTAACGGCTGAATTCTTACTCTTTTGCCTCGGAAGATGCTGGAAGTGTTGCTCTTTAATATTACCCGATGGACACCTGTGAACCTCACCTGTGACGTCACGGAGGCGAGCAACATTACCTACGTCACAGATGCCCGTTCAGAAGGTGAGCTACATTCACCCAACAGAGGATGCTACACACAAAAAGAAACATACATGCCCTAACCGTGATTAGAATCCGCAACCAATGGCTTTGCAGTCAAGCATGCTAACCGATAGGCCACCTAGACGACATAAAACTTAATTTAGAACATTAGTCTTCCTCGATATGAAACGCAAATGCGGGTTAGTTCCATCAAAAAAATCCTCCACTAAGGCAAATTTCTCCTAATACAGTGAAAACCCCGCTATAGTGAACCTTCAAGGGACCGAAATTTCAGTTCACTATAACCGGGTGTTCACTATATCCGTAACGCAGGCAATTTAACTAATGGTTCCCAAACTCCTCCCTTTTATTACACATTATTCAAATAAATGACTGAAAAATATTATGTAGTAGCAAAAAATGCGTTATTTTTCATTACTCTTCGTCTTGCGTACAAAAAAAATTAGTAATCTTTAGCTGATGAGCAATCCTCAACATCAGTTATGGAAACACTTCCCGACTCTCAGATAATTTTTCCTGAATTTCTGTTATTCCGTTTTTTAAACCTGTCTAACCAGCCATTCGAGCACATGAAAGTAGTCTCATAAAATCACTTAGCAAATTTATCCACATTTGTCCAGATTGCGGCTTCTTCGAATGGTGAACCACTTCAGTAATGCTTCTTCAACATCCTTGTGATCTGCTTTTCTCCACTTTTTTCTGCCATCTATATTTTTTTCATGAGCAGAAATTATTAATTGCCTATTTTTCCATATGTTACAAACTTCAGATTTGGATAGTTTATATTCCCTGATAATATCAACAACAACAAAAAAATGAACAAAAAAATCAGTCGAAGACAGAAAAAAGTTCACTATATCCAACTTCCTCACATTTTTGGTTCACTATATCCACAAAAAATAACATTATGCTTGTATAGCAAGACACGGGACAGAACATTTGGTTCACTATATCCGGGAGTTCACTATAAGCCGTGTTCACTATAGCGGGGTTTGACCGTATTTGATTTAGGAGTTCCCATGTCTTCTGGATTGAGTCCATAGATTACAATTCTATGGAGTTGAACATTAGTAGTCGTAAACTCAAATTTGGGTCGGCTGTTTAACGACGTTTATAAAAAATGGTGACATTAGAACAGTGGTGAATTTAGAATAAGTTGTGAAAACTTTTTCATTGTATGATTTTAAAGGATTTAATTTTACGTTAATTTTAGGTATACAGTAGACTGATAGTAACGCAGATATTTTAGCTGATATTAATTAGTTGAAACATTTTGTTTCCTCGTTCTTTTTCTACAGTTTTTCAAATTTCTGTGGAACTTGGCCACTTTGATAAGAAATGTCAGCTTTTTCTCTTTTCTGGGATACAATCAGCGCTTTTTACGAGAAGATTCTGATTAGTGAGATTATTTCATTTTATCGCATTTTTTTTAATAGACAAATTTCTAGTCTTTTTTGTACTTTCAAAAATAAAGAGCTAGTCTACTATTTTATTTATTTATTTATTTATTTTTGCTGCGTTATAAAAATCCATTTTAACAGTTTCCTTGCTGTACAAATAAAGAAAAACATTTTCAGAATTTTGGTTTATTCTTTTGACTACATTGAAGCAATACCCAAAATAACCACCATTAGAGTAGATTTTAATATAGTATTAGGCAAAAACAAATCATCGAGGAAATTTGAATCAATATAATCAGTTGACCTAGGCGATTCAAATCAATAATTGATTCAAGTGAATTCATTCTGCAATCAGTGAATGATTCCCAGAAAGCATGTAAACCTTACAGGCAACCTTGTGACAGAATCTTTTTTTTATTGTCACTTAAATGTTTGTACTAAAAACCTCTTTTCAATAAAGCAATAATATTGCAGTTTCAAACCTTTCATCCTAAAAGGATTAAAAAGTTAATTTTTAAAGCTTTTTTAATAAGTATTGTCACTTAAGGTTCATAATGACGTTTTAGATGACGTCACACTAGCGATAGGATCAAATTGCATTGTCCATTAAAATTTCGTGACAAGGTGGATTTCAGCTGAGCATACAAGACTTCACGAAAAGAAACCTTACAATGACCTAGATATAAGGTTATTTTCACACTGAGACCAGGGTTCGTTCATTTAAATCACGATTTAAATCATGATTAAAATCAAATGATTTTTTTAAAAAAATCATTGATTTAAATCAACTGATTTTTATATATATTATATTGATTTTAAAAGTTAAAAAACAGTGCTTTAAATTATTGATTTTTTTTATTTTCTTAGTTTTAAAATTTATTTTAAATTAATTGCTGCATTAATTAATTTTAGTAAACGAAATTACTTTCTTTCTTGGTGTGTGTTAAACACATTTAAAATTACATGTTTTTTTGATTCTTAACATTGAAAGTACAGATTAAAGTAAATATTTAATGCTGTCTTAATATAGACTTGCATAGCTGTAGAAAGTAAATAATAAACATGAATACTTTTCAAAAAATAATACAAATAATGTTAATTAAAATTCTACCTTTTGAATGAAAAAGCGTGAATTAAAATCTACATCATATTTTATTGGTGGAAAATGTGTATTTCTGAAGCTTGAGGTTATGTTAAAAAGAAATNAACATAATACGAACAACTCTAGAATCATAAATATTTACAATAACTACATTAAAAAAATAAGCTATGAAATTAGGAGAATTTCAACTGTACACTATATATTTTATTTATACTTTTTACTTACGTTTTAATTTTCTTTGACTTTATCCATTTTTTAATTTTTTTCACAATCCTTTCTTTTTGAAGTAACAAGGCGGTTTCTATTTAGATAACGAATTTTTATGAAAGTTCTTAACGATAGAAAAAACGTATTGCTGATTTATATTAACTGTGTCATTTTGGAATCCATTCCTTACATAGTTGTTCATTTACTTTAGGGAAGACGCGGAAAATTATATTTTTTCCTTTTGTTTTTCTATCAGAATTAATGCAAGTTGCAAACGCGCAAACTGGCATTTCGTTAATAGTTTTAAAATTTTGCAAATTCACGGCAAAAACTGAGGAAAGTCATTATAGAAAATAACAAATGTCAATGAATATGTCACAAAAAGAAATGCTCCAATATTAGTTAGAGCTAGTAAGGCCGAACGCTCTGTCCTTGAAGTAAAAGTGCGAGCTTTGCGCCAAAGTGACGTCACTAGAGAAAATCGGAGGATTGGCACGGCGAGAGTTTCTTCAAAGGAGTGAACCAGCCCTTCTATTTCTCTTTAGTCCTGATTGTCACTTAAGGTCCATCGTGACGTTTTAAATGACGTCACACTAGCGATAGGATCAAATTGCATTGTTAATTAAAATTTCATGACAAGGTGGATTTTAGCTGAGCTTACAAGACTTTGCTAAAAGAAACCTTATAATTACCTAGATTTGAGATTATTTTCACCTTGAGACTAGCTTTATGAAAGGATTTTTTCAAGCTTGAAAACCCTAAGTCAACCTCCATTTAAGGTTTTCATATAGAAGGTTGTTTTCCAAGGTTTTGAAATAGGATAATGTACGTAGAATAGAGCAGATGGTCACAGATCTCGTTTTAAGGTTAGAAGGTTTACACGCAAACCGCATTACAAACTTTTCTAGGTTTACATTAAAAAGGTTTTTGCTGTGTGAAAATAAACCTTATTTTGCTATCTGGGATTAGAATCACTTATTAATTCGAACCTCTTACTGATTCAGTTTGGTGCTGATTCTTAATAAATTTAAATGGTTCAAAATGATACGAATCAACAACTTTAAACTGATTCGGATCAGAATCAGAGATTAATTCGAATCACATGAGTCAGTATAATGATCTGATTAAAAAATATAGAAACTCACAGATTGTGATAGGTGACGATTGCTGAAAAAGATCGGGCCGTTATCCTGAAGCACATTAAGCTCACATGCTTGTAGGCAAATCTCTTCAGTCTGTAATTAGAAAACAACAGATGAAATAAGTAAATAGAAGACAAGGAATGGGAAAAAAAAGAAGGGGGGGGTCTTACCGTCCTTCGGGAATGTAGCCGATGATGCCGGTGCACAAAAGAAGCCACAACACTCCAAGAATTGAAATAACTAGTCTGGAAACAAGTTTTATTAGAAGGAAACATTTTGAAATTTTTTATTCGAATATTATGGGTGTATTAAAAACAGAAATATGGTATGAACACAGAAAAATTTATTTTTGAAAATATGTGAAAAAGACCCATGGGGTGGAAAAGACCAAAAGTTGACCTCTTTGCTCGTAGCTTTGGGATATCTACATTCAGAGAAAGTTCGTTTTTGTTGCTGATTTCGTAACTTAAAATATAGTCTGTACTAACTTATTCGTATACTTGAGGTCACCTTCTCGAACCATTAAGATTGAGTCCTAAAACGTGAAGATCCGATCAAAAGTTATTCAGGGTGGTCTTTTTTTTTTAATTTGCGCACTTCACATCAAAATATTTTCTTAATATAACTCAGTTACATTATTGAATTAATCACTATACGTGTTGACAAATATTTTTGTTACTTACATTATAGCTATCAGCATTCTTGATATTAGTATCGAAGTTGATGATAATTGTTTTTGACCATACTCACCCTACTATCATATTCGATATGCGTCAATGTCGATAATAATCTCAATATTATCTCGCTTATTATAGTATCTCACACGTATCAAATACACTAACACATATAGCATGAAAATATTTTTTTTTACCTACAGTTTAAATGAAACTCATATTTGACATTACATCATCCAGTTCTCTGCACAAGAATGTTAGAGAAAGTAATGATTTTTTAAATTGCAAACAAAGGATTGTAACCTACCTACATGGGAATAAAATACAGTATCGCAAAATCCAACCGAGTCCCCACAAAATGGACAAGCGCAAGCTGTAGAAAGAAAAGAGTTTGTTATTATACATATATTATTATTATTATGGTATTAAAAAGACAGTAGAAAAGAAAAATTAATATTTTACGATATTTATTGATGTGTATTCCATAGAATAAATAAAATTAAATAGTCTGATTGGAATGCTAATACATAATTTAATATTTCATTTGTAAATGAAGTCACAGAAATGATTCACATATGAAAACTTATAGTGAAAGTCGCACATTTTTTTCTTATAAAATTATACAAAGGCTGATCTTTTAGTACAAAACGGTTACTGTGCTCTGTATTTGTATTGTAACTGCTATTACAAATATTAAATACCAAATCACTAATATATAAGACATGTTAACTTGAATTCCATCTCGAGGTACCTTTTGATAGATGAACGTTTGCATAGTGGATGAATATAGCCTCTTATATTTACTTTGGACGCCTCTTTTATTTTATCTACAGTGACATGTTGCGCATTTAAATTGAGTTGTTGTTTTATTTAACATATAATAAATTTTGCACTATTTCTTTCTTAAAGATTCATAACAACCACCACTTTCTGGAAAATGACACTACTCGAATGTCTGGAGAATGAGCCTTACGATCTAGAGCAGTGCTCCCCAACCTTTTTATCACCGCGGACCTGTCAACGTTTGATAATTTTACCAGGGGGGGGGGGACGTTGATTGTTTGTATTTTAAATTATTTTGATTTATTAATTTTAATTTAATTTTATTTAAACATGCCTACAAAATAAAATACAGTTACACTAAAAAATAAATTTAAAGTGATTTAGTATTTTAACTTACTAGAACGATGAGAACCCTGAACTTGTTTCTTTGTAATAAGACGGTTCCATCTGGGGTAATCGTTTTAAAACGTTAAAAAATTTATGTCGCAACCTTCGGGAGCCCCTTTTTTAAAATAAATAAAATTTTAATGGAACACAGATATTTTTAATTTTTGGTATAAACCTAGGAATTTAAATTCAGTTTCAATGAAATGTGCGGCNATCTAAGTATATTTATTATTATTATTATTATTATTATTATGGTATTAAAAAGACAAGAAAAACTAATATTTCAGGATATTTATTGAAGTGTACTCCATGGAATATATAAAATTAACAAGTTAAGCAAATGAGATGCATTCATATTAAAATGAAGGGAAGTAAAAAAGGACACATGTTCACTTAAAAATTAAAATCTGCATAATGTTTTAAGGATTATATGTAATGAGGTAGAATGATCTAACAAATTGTATAATGTAGTAAATGTAGCTTGTTGTAGTAATCGAAAAATGTAGCTTGTCATAATGCGCATTTCAGAGTATTTTTATAATTCCTACTCTCCCTCTTGTTCAAATTTTCAATCTTTAATAAAATGCTTTTTATTCATTCACTCAACTTCAAATACATTTTCTTTAAGCCTGTAGTGGATGACACTTAATATTAATAAAGTTTTTTTAATTATTAATTCATTCATTAAATAGGAATGAGCGAATAAACGAAATGGAGTTTTTTGATGGGTTAAGCGTTAGTCATTGTTTTAAATTTTGCTATAAGCGATTCAGTTATTCACATATTTTAAAATAAACATCAGTGATAATTTTTAACTTATAGCTCCTTTTGATGTTTATTGCTTGAGTGTACACACAAAATTTCTAATTAACTTTAGACTCTAAAGAATAAATCTAGAAAATTGATCCTACTGTCATGGAAAAAGGTTTTACTATGTAATTTGTTTACTTTTTACGTCGGTTTTCATTATTTGATTAAATTTAATATTACCATAATTGGGTATAATATGAAAAAAACACAACTACTTCCACTTCGAAAATTTTACTAGGAATAACATTAACCTTTTAGTTTAATTAATAAACTGAGTTTTAAATATGTTTACTAAATTCATAAACTTAGATAAAACAACAAAATAAATTATTTCAAAAAGAATTAGACTAATACAATTGCAACCTGGCGAGTAGCGACTTGTAACAACATGCTTCGCTTAATGTTTATTTGTTGCTAGAAATCAGGTTCGCAGAAAATGCTGTTTACTAGTTAAATTTAGTAGGAATAACACGACCTGTGACGTAGTTTATAGTATACCCAATTGATATAGCCTTGATTTTATATAGTAACTGATATAACATTTTATCAAAATATATCTTGTCTTATATCTCAGCTGAAGCGTTGATGACAACTCATATAATACTGTACAACAAAAAATAACTAAATTGCTTGATAGTTTTCTTTTTTTCTAAATATATTTTTGATTAGAAAATATTTTATTTAAAAAAAAAAGTCAGTAAAATGTACCAATTGGGTATAATATGAAAAAAAACACAACTACTTCGATTTAGTAGGAACAACATATGACGCAATGCTAAACGAATGGAATTTAGTTGTTGTTTATTTAGTTATTGTTATTAGTAGTTGTTGTTATTTGTTTCAGTTGTTGTTGTTTATTTAGTTGTATTTAGTTTCAATAACTTTTCCTTATAATGCAATAAAATCTGGCGAGCAGCTATTTAAACGATCGAACACTTCGTTTGTTTATTTGTGGCTTAAAGTTAGGCTCGCAGAAAATGCCGTTCATGGGTTAAATTTAGTAGGAACAACACAACCTGTGACGTAGGCTATATTATACCCAATTGGATACTTGCACTTCGAGAAGAAGTTCAAACATACCCACGCATGTGACCTATGACGTCAAAGCCATCTGATCTTCAATTAACAAAATGGCGTGTCTAAGTTTTTTCCACGTAAATTAGAATGTTAATTAACGTGAAGTTAATTTAACATAGAGCCACCCATCGAATAAGCTGAAATATAATTCTTTCTCGTCTACATATTTTACTTGACTTAGATTTATTATTTGTTTATGTACTTTATTGTAACGCGTAATATATTTTTGTTTCGTGTACCTGGCAACTTCGATGCATAATTAGTTTGTTTATGTTCTGCATGGCTTCTTGCCTGTCTTTGTGTTAAGTAAGAAATATGTGGTGAAAGAATTGAAATCATTGAGAAAGAAAGAATCTACTTGACGGGGCAAGATAACTCGAAATAGAATGGAAATAACTGTTGCTAACGTAAACAAATGACACTTTTCAACAGCCAATCTGACTCGAGATACCCACACTGGGTCACTTGCACATTAACGATCTCTTGTCACTTTTCCCTCCATAAAATGTTTTTTAAGGCCACAGTAGTGCAAAAACATCGAAATGTAGTATTTTTCCTAAACATAATTATGCTTAATAACATCGTTAAAAATTATTAATAATAAAATAAAAACATAATTTTAAATCCAAAGTAAACGGAGACGTCTAATAATCTTTTAGTCTGATTAGAATGCTAATATATAATTTAATATATTTTATCTGTAAATATGAAGTCGCAGAAATGATTCACATACTTATAGTGAAAGTCGCACATTTTTTTCTGATAAAATTATACAAAGGCTGATCCTTTTGTACAAAACGGTTACTGTGCTCTGTATTTGTGGCGTATAACTGCAACTACAAATATTAAGTACCAAATCACTAGTACATAAGACATGCTAACTTGAATTCCATTTCGAGGTACCTTTTGATAGATAAACGTTTACATACATACTCGATGAATATATCCTCTTGTATTTACATTGGAGGTCTCTTTTATTTTATTTACAGTGAAATGTTGCGCATTTAAATTGAGTTGTTGTTTTAGTTAACATAATAAATTTTGCACTATTTCTTTCTTAAAGATTCGTAACAACCAGCACTTTCTGGAAAATGACACTACTCGAATGTCTGGAGAATGAGCCTTACGATCTAGAGAACGGAATCAATGCAGAAGAGTAGTACAAGGTGGCCTCAAACAAAGGGTGTTTTTAAAAGAACATTTAAAAACCAACCGTTAAAATAAATTATTTCCATTAGAGGTTCTATGCGAAAGAATATTATATTACTTAAGTAAAGTAGTGTGTACCAGTTTTTTTCAGGATGCTGGTCATCCATATCTAAGTGATTTACTTTGTCGCCAATGTGATATATTGCAGCTGGTAATCGTTAATTTTAGCATTTGTTGAGAATTTTCAATAATAAAGAGTTTTCGTCCTTTTCGATTGTATTCTTTATTTTTACCCGACCATTCTTTCAACAGTTTGATTATGGGCTTTATATCTAAACTAAGGACCTAAAGTTGTGTCAGAAAAGGAAAAAAAAATACCTGACAAAACTATAGTTTTTATTGGTCCTCGTCAATAAATTCCAAGATGGTAATTCTGAAATAAGAAAATACAATTTCAGTTTAAATGTTTGTCTTCATACATGCACGCCTTTATTGTTCATTAAATCATACATAAAGTACGAGAAAGAAAGGGCATAAAACTGACATAAATTACATGTAGTAAAAGTTGCATATTTACTTGTTCTTAATATTTGTTTTATTATTTGAGCAGAGAAAAATACTACGATTAAAAGCACTGAACTCCAATTGCTAAGCTTTTCAATATTTACTTTTGTTTGCTGTCAGACTTCAGTATTTTTTGAACTTATACAAGAAAAATGTAGCCTCAAAAATATCTTTTTGGTTCATTTTTTTCTCCCTAATTAAAGTCGATGGTTTTAGTTAAATATAATGGTCTGTCTGGAGAGTCAAGTCACTGAGTCGAATAAATAAAAAATGTTTTTCTATCAGATTGGTTAAAAAAATTAGCGCGCTATCATTACTTTCAGGGAAATATTCTCATCTGAGGCTTGTATCACTGTGTTTTTTTTTTTATTTTTTTTTAACAGATCCAGATTTACTTCCAACAAAACACGGATTTTTTAAGGAATGCCGCATTATTAATTTTTCCTTCCTTTTGTTTTTAAATAAATGTTTATCGGCTAGTTCCAAACCTTTTTAAGAAGCTTTTTAATTTCAGATCCAAAAGTTCATGAACTTTGTTTTGCTCCATTTTTATATTAATCGCGCAAAAATTATCGCAGCGATGGTCCAGGAATGATTACAGGTTCTTTTTAATGGTAAATGTTTTATTTTATTTTATAACCGTCGTTGAACAGCCGGCCCAATCTTATGGGTATACGACTACAAGTGTTCAACTCCGTAGCCTTGTAATTTTGAACCCAATTCAGAAGACAAGGGAACTCCTAGATCGAGTATTGGGAGAAATTTGCCTTCGTGAAGGACTTTTTGATGGAGCTATCCCGCATTTGAGTTACATGGAGAGAAAGACCACTGGAACCTCCCACGGTTAGCCTGACGGCAAGGGGACTCTAATCCATGATTCCTCTACCACTGAGGATACGTCACGTCAGCACTGTGGTCGGTGCAAGCCGGATGCGGAATTCGTATCGACTGGGATTCGAACCCGGTTCGCCTCATTGGAAGGCGAACGCTCTATCCCATGAGCCATCGCGGCTCAATGGGAAATGTTGTGATGTTTCATAATTTCAAAGGAAGACGCATGAAGCAGCATAAAACATTAGACAAATGTTCTATCATACAATAGCTTGTACATTTGCAGAATATTGTTTGATATTAAACTGTTCTTTCTGCATCCATCAAAAATCAGAAAGCTACGACGCGTAGGATTTTAAAAATAAAGGACCTCAATTAATCGATAAAGAAAGACATCGTTTGATGGCCATCAATACTCCTCAACAGACGTGAAATAGAAACTTAAATGAATTATTATTTGACATTAC